GCCCTATGAACTTGGCTATGCTGTCTGTACCCATCGCTCTAACAACTAACCCACATTCTGATCACAAAGTCAGGAACAGATCCAGAAATACTGACTCCCAATATTCTACTGCTCTACCACATATAGTTGCCATTTTGTCACTGGCAAAGGATGTATCATGTCTATGGGCTGGTCCACCTAAAAGATAACAACTTAGTTCTGCTACATTACTCTATTAGCACAAGAGGACTGCAATGTGGATCTGGAATTTCTGAGTACAACCTTTGCCGATGACCAGCCATGCAGGAAAATATAATATATGCTCACATAATTACGGACTATAGCATAATATATACTTATAAGTGGGCAGGATTAAGTTTGCATGAGTAACTTTACTTCTGGCATTTCTTAATCTTTCAGTATTTGCAACTTTATCCTTCTCTTAAGGTTGCTTGTTTGCATATAATATATAATAAAGACTCTCTCTTAAATTAGTACTTGTTTGGGGGCTGGATGCCTCAAGGCATTGCTAATAAATCAGAGATCTTTTTGCTAATAGGTCACCAATCTGAACTCAGACGAGCTCAGTAGGGAGTAAAAATTGGGGTCTTTCTAAATTGAAATCCTCAGATGAAAGGCAAAGTATTACTTTTATCATGTTTATTATTATTTATAATAATAAATACCCAAATATTGTGGTGATATATGGAATAATAGTATATGATTGTATATGAACATTCTTTTTTCATTTTAAATTACTCAGATATTTTCATTGTGAGATCTATGAATAACATTTCCAATTCCTATAGCCACATTTATTTTTTGGTTTTGATAGTGACACTGAATCAAATACATACAAAATGATCTGTGAAAGTCAGGTCCTGATTTGAGATAATTTGACTATCAGATCCATTAATTCAAAAGAGAGACGTGGCATATCTACAATAGAGACTCAGAGTAATGCTATTTCCTGGAAAAAAACACGCAAATCACAAATACTAATGGACTTCATGGCAGTTGCCTCTCATACAAATATGAATAAAATTAATTAATTAGAACTCACTTGACAAGCAGAATTATGGAAAAAATTTGCACTATCGGACTGTAACATTTTAATTTTCATGTAGATATAGAATGTTTTCCCATAACAATGTCTTTTGTGTTGTAAAATTAAATATGTTGCTTGCACTTCTCTTTTGTGGTATTAATATCATCCTATCCAAGTTTATCCAGTAAAAGATTACTTCACAACAAATCATTTCCAGTTCAAGTTCCAGCTCCAAGTCTTTCCACAAATCCTTTAAAAACTAAGCAACATTGTTTAAGCAAAAATCCATTTCTCCTTGCTGTGTTAGATAAAACAGATTGAAAATATGCCTTACCTTTTCAGCTGCCACAGAAGGAAGAGATGTGGAAATAAACTGTTCATTAGCGATTGAGGAGTTCACTTCTTCTTTACTGAAAAAAATTGATTTTCTCCCCACTCTTTTCCTTCCTGCAGGGGCCAAAGTTGGAGTAAAACATCTGTAGACAGTGATCCCGTGGCAGCCAACAGAGACCTGGCTCAGGGGATGGTTGCTACTGCTGCCACAGGCTCCAAAACACTGCTGTTCCTGGGAGCAAAGCAGAGACTAGTGATCAAACGGAAGTTATTAGCTTCTTTAAAATTCTAAAAAGAGGTTTCACCGTGAGAAAATGCAATGCTGAATTCATCAAAATGTGCTTATGGCCCCCAAGCCACCCACAGGAAGCATAGTGGCTATGCTTTCTTAGACTTCCGAATGATTTCGCTTTCTGAAGTAATAGATTTGCAAAAATTGCAAACCTCAACCTCCTCAGAGAGACTGAAAAACACTGGTAAACTGAGCAGGCCCTTTACTGGAAACAAGATAGCCTGGTTTCCTTTCCAGTCAATTGCAGATCACAAAACATGACAGATAGAAGACACTATGAACTTTCCTGAATGAACACCTATGAAAAGTAGAAATGAACCTAACTCACCAAGTATGAGTCTGGAATCAGATGCAAATCCAAAATCCATGGATGTCTGGATTGGGGATTCCAGTCCAACCTGTTACAGAGATAGGCTAAGTATCTGCATCCAAACTTCTTTAGATTCTGGGAGGGGGTATTGAGCCTCTTTTTCCAGGTCAAGCTCATCTCTAATTTAAAGGAGCAATTATTTCTGGGTCAAACACAATATATAAAATAGGACAACAGGGTTCTTTTTATTTCTTAGATGTCTTGAGAAGTGGCATATATCAGTACAAAGTCTATAAAGCATTGCCATCCACATGGCAAAATGAATCAGCTTGTGTGACTCTTTAATTGCATAGCTCGACTAACCCAATAGGTTCAAACAGCATGTGCTTAACTTTAAGCATGTCAGTAGTCTCGCTTAAGTAACAAGAACTGCTCTTGTGCATAAAGATAAGCCCATGAGGAACTATCTGCAGGATTTGGGCCTTTGTCTTTACTCAGGCGACATTCTTATTGGAGTAAAGACTTACTGGCAGTCTTGCCAACCAACCTTAAACATTAAAAAATGAGTTTGTTATTTTTAATCTCATGATTTTTAAGACAAATTTTGGATTATTTTTATCATTTGGTTTTTGAGCCTGTAAGATCCACTTGGGGTCATGTTTTCAAGCTTTTCTCTACAGCCATGAAGACCAGACACATCCCATCGCCCCCCCCCGGTGTTTTTTGATTTTTTAATGAAAGCTGAGATTCTCATGAAATCACATTCCCAGAAGCTGCTGCTTTAACAAAAACAACAAATAGTGGGAAACTTGAGATTAAATCACATGAATTGACATTTCTGGATCTGTTAGTGATTCCATCATCTCTCAGCATCTTACATCCAAGGCCTCTGATGTGCTTTATCAACATAAAAACCTCACAACACCTCTGGGGAAAAAGTTACTTGGGCAGCCATGGCAGGATTTGAGGCCAGACAGAAAGGGCCAAGTTGCATGGGATGTAAACCAGAGAACGATCAGCAGATGTGTTTGGAGATGATTTAATTGGTGTTGGTCCTGCTTTCAGCAAGGGGGTTGGACTAGATAATATCCAGAGGTCCCTTCCAACCCTGATATTCTACGATTCTAAGTCACAATGGGGTCAACTCTTCCCATGGGTGCGACTTGGAACCATCTCACTAAGACCAACCTTCCCAGCAGTGCCCACTGATTATATATATATATATATATATATAACTTTTCATTAAGGCAAAGTTACCACCCGCACCTCCGAG